CTGTTGTATATTAATTGAGTTGTATTGAGGAGTTCTATGGAATAAAGTTACCTAAGTGCACTTAGATACCTTTATCGGTTAAATGTTTTATTATGCATACTAAATAGCATTTACGGACATGGATGTTCTTTCTATAATATATATTAATACTTTATTCAAGCATATTTAACATTTACATTTTGCTTACTTCATAACAAACACATGGAAAAAGAATAGTTATTTGAGAATTCCTGAAGGCATCAAAATTTAACTTAGTTATGTTAATTCACAGAACTCCTTAATTTATACGTATATTATGTATATATATAAATTAAACATGTAAGTTTTGCAAATGTTTGTGACTGAAAATAATTTGCATTACTGAAAATTATCCTGAAAATAATTGTATTATTTTCAGGATAATAGGCAAAAAGTTGTCTCTTTATGGTATTTGTCTTAATATGTGGATAATAACACATGACATACAAATTTCTTAAGATAATGTTTATTAAAAAGCTTAGAAGTTTGCTCGATTCTTTTTTTGCATTCTTTAAATCAGTGTTTCTCAACCTTTTACTCATCATACACTGGTAAAATTATAGGCAATCGTATGTGGACCAGTAATTATATATGACGATGAATTATGCTTAAATATGTTTATCTAGAGTTGCTGTACATAACAAGTATGTACAGTTACTTAAGGTTATTATATAAATGTCACTCATAATCAACTGTGTCAGCATCAATATGGTCAAATATTTTTCTCTAAACTGGTGAAATTTTTAATGGACCAGAAGTTGAGAAATACTGCTTTAAATAATTCAAAATATTTTTTGCAGAAATCTGTTAGTTCTTTATTACCAGTAATATCTTCACTAATTATAAACTTTTAATGGCCCTATTAATGCTTGGATTAATTAGAAATGAGATACTTTAACACTAAAGAAGTCACTGGTTTCTGTACAGTATTAAGTATTTTATTTTGATTCATTTTGATTATTTTAAGATAGTTTAATTGCTGTATTTATTTTGTAAGAAATGAATATATTAAGAAGGACAATACATATTTTTACTGATAATTTCATAGTATTAATTGGCACCATAAAATCTATTCATTTTATTTTGACATGCCAAAGTGCTGAGCCAAAGTATGCATTGGCAATGCACCAAACTATCATGTTCTACTTCCACTACATTCTACTTTAACAGAAATATCTGCTTTTCTATGTCAAATCCATCATTAGAAGAGAAGAGTGTAATGACATTTGACATTGGTATTATTAAAGGACTACTAGATCTACATTAAAAAAGTACCAGTTTTTAACCTCATTCCTAGAAATAGATCTGGATGCTTTTGCATTCAGAAAAAAAAGAAAATTTTATTTTATTTTTTTATGTCTCTTTAATTTATGTTCCGTTTATCAGAGAAATTCAGTTTGTGAAGATATTTTTAGAAATATTATGTTAACAGGATGGCTGTGCCCCTCAGATCAGGTTTGACACCACCTGTGACTTTTTGCTTACAGGAACCTTCAAACTGCATGAGTGGCCATGTATGTAGAACTTTTATGAAGTAAGGGTGTGACTATGCAGACGTGAACAAGTGAATTTTCCAAGTGAGCGAGAATATGTGGTGAGGAGAGGCGAGATGCAATAAATATCAAACCCTGTCAGATATTTGCGAGAACCAGAAATTTGCTCACGTCAGTGAGATATCTTGCTTCTCGCTTGTGCATGTTTTCCTTTGCAAGAACTATATCGCTCGCAACCTTTTACTCACTACTAAATTTGAGTCAGCATAGTCACACTCTAAGGGATGAAGGGAGAGATGGGGAGGCCCAGAAATACAACACTCAACTACTGAATTAATAATAAAACAAATGACATTTAATTTTACTAAGCCAGAGATATATGCATCGTAAATATGACATCATAAGATTTATCTATAGGGGTTACTAGTCTATAATCTATTCGTGTTTCACTTCTGTGGGGGAGAGAGTTTAATGTAAATCTCATGGGTCAAATTAAATTTCTGGATCCTTTGAGGTTTAGTGATCACTGGCTGACTTGGGCATCCTAGAAAGAGGGAGGAAAGTCTTTTACTTCTACTGATGACTCTGTAATAATCCATAATATTAATGGTGACGATCAGTTCAAGTTTATTATCCTTTAATTTGGGCAGTGGCTGGATTGATAGGAACTGGGTGGCTGACAGGACTAGACAGAGGGATGACCGCCGAACTGGACGTTGACAACCTTCCTGACCTTTTTTGTTGGTCTTTTTATACATTTTTGACTGTTTCCTGTGTCAAGGTATCTCCAAATAAGGCAATATCAGATGAAATGTCCTTGTCCAATCCATCTCTTCCTTGGGTGAGTAGTTTTGTGGAGCTGTAATCAACTGACTTCCCAGAAGAGAAGTCAGTTGAGGGGAAGTGTTATCTTCAGCCAAATCTTATTTTCTCATTGCTTTTTAACAAATTTTTGTGCTTTATTTTAACAAATTTATAATTATTACTATTTAAATTTAACAATCTGTAGCTCAGGATCTCACAATTGCTTTTTATTGTTTGGAAGATAACCTCCTTTTTCTGTATTCTAAATTTGATTCTATGTAAAAATTTGACTTAAGCCAGAATATTTAACTTATTTAAATTTGTTATTTTATCTTTTAATTTTAAGTTTGCATTTAAACAATTAACAGTTTTTTTTTAATTGAAATGATTTATTGTAATTAAAGTTAATTTTATTAGTTAAAAATGGCAATTATTTGATGTATTTTTACTGTATGTTAGATTGAAAATTGCCAAAAAATCTGTGTAGATATATTATGAAATATTTTTTATATGGTCTGAATTAAACACCATATAGTTATGATTAAAATTATATAAGAGCATATTTTATATTTATATGTGATATGAAAAATAAAACTTTATACTATATTGAAGTCTATATTATTTTTAATCAAAACCTGCTGAGTTAGAGATAATAAAATAGAAACTTTCGTAGAAAATGTTTTAGAATAGATCATCGATAATTAACATATAAAGCATAATAAATTAAATACTGAGTCTTCCAAGATGAAATCTACCATTTTAAATTACTGTAATTATGTTAATTATTATCCGAGAAGTATGCAGTGTACACTGATTGAGAGTAACTGTCCGAGTTTCATCTCCTATCTGCATTTAAATGTTTTGTCGTCTACTGTTTTTAAGAAGTACCATAAATAAAAATGGCAACTGTGCAACAGAGAAGGTGTTTTGCAGTTTACAAAGTTGGAATCATTTGTCATCGTACAAGATAAGTAATTTGTAGGAACTCAGAATACAGCTGTGGAGCTTTGTGAGCTGTAGAATTGTGGCTGCTGTGGGAGAGTGACAACAGATATGCCATTGCAAGAGTAGGAAGAATTTGAGTATCAGTCGGATATGTATCATGTGACATGGATGCACATGCTGAGAAATTGTATTGGGCAAATGTGAAATTAAACACTGGACAGTTCTCCAGTGTTTAATGTATAATGTTAGTTACAACTTTCTTTGATAATAATTGACATAATATTTTATGTACACAACATATTGGAGTTACACAAGTGTTCTCAAGTGTATAATGATCCTGTATATATAATAATATAATTTTTTCTGGGATGTTAATATTATAAACATTTTAGATTGTTATTATTCATAAATGTTTAATATTTTATTTGTTAATTATTAGATTTTGAATGTTGTTTGTGACTGATTTTAAATTTTATATTCTCAAATGTAGAATTTTATTATATTCTCAAACACCTTATTGTGCTGAGAAAATGTTTGTTCTTATTATATGTTTAGTACCTGAAGATGACTGACAAAGGCAGTCAAAAATGTTTGTTTTTAAATAAGTTATGCTAGTATGAAGGCTTATCTCAACTAAATACTTGCAATACTATGATTAGAATATTGTAATACAGGTATTCATTTCATTTTTTAAAATCAAGATTAACAGATATGTCTATAAATTAAGAAGTAAATAATTTTCAATGACATTATAGATTAATATTTTATTTATAATATTATGGAACAGATTACTGATGTTAACAGGGGATGCCCATACTCAAAAAGTTCAATTGTTTTCCTTGAATGAATTGAATTTATCTTTCAATTAAACAAATGGAAAATATGTGTCAAATTTATGTATTCTATATTTGTGTTAAAGAAATATGTGATAGGCATGCTAGTACAGGAATACTTAATAATTCATGAGATTTGTTATTTTATGTGAATATCTGCTTATGCAAGTTATCATACATGTGTTCCAAGGCCCCTTTGGAACACATGATGAGGTTCTACTGTTATTAATTTAAATATCAATCGAACAGCCAGACTTTTTTTTTTATCTAGTTACATATTTCTAATTAATTATTAAGTAATATGGCTGAAGGCAGGTGGTTAAGCAGCCATCTTTTGTTAAATTTAATAATTAGGAATAAATAAATTTAATTTAGAATATTCTGGAAGAAAAGATCGTCTCAGAGCAGGACTCTAACTTGCAACTCCTGCTTACTGTGCAGATACGGAATTAGTCCGAAAGCAAAGATTAGACAGAGGTCGGGGTAGCATAACTGTAGATGAACAGTAAGCAGGAGTTGTGGGTTTGAGTCACACTCCAGATAATCTTTTTCCAGTGTATTGTAAATTAAATTAATTTATTTCTGATTTAACACGGTGTGATTATTAAATTTAATGCAATTATGCTATCATTAATTAGCCTAAAGTAGCCTGATAAAAATCTAGCTGTTTATGTATATGTATATTATGTATGTAGTTGAATGTATAAAATGATAATTTATGATAAAATGATTACTTGTTATTAATTAACTAATTGGTTTTTCTATAATATAAAATTCTTATCTTTAAATTATATATTTCTATAATTTAAAGATAAGAATATATATACATAGTATTTATGAATTGTTAAAACAAATAGTGTATGATGAAATAATCTTGAATTTATTTATATATATATATATTTTTTAGAGTTACTTTTATCAAATACAGAGGGAAAAAATTGAGAATCAAAACACCTGTTTGCAGAGCATTAAAAAAGTTAAACAATGTTGAAGGTAATTATTAAAATTGCATTCATTGAAGTAATAGAAAATTCTAGATTAAATTATCTTCTAATTTCCCATTTCTTTCCATTATATTAATTTACTGTATTTTTTCAATTTTAAGGCACTCAATTCTAAGACGATTTTGAAATTAAATTTTAAGATTTTTTTATGGACAGAAAATTTTAAAATAGCCAGTTTTATTAAATTGTTTTAATAACAGAGTAGAGAAACAATACAAATAACCATGGAATAGATAATGTTTGTCAGTTTTATGTCCTTCTACATATAAAATTTACAGAATTACTATAATATTTTCATTGTTGTCTATTGTTTAGCAAAGAAAATACAGTTTATATACAATAATAAATAGGAATATAAAACAAACTTATTTGTTGCATTGCTACTTTACTACTTTGTTGCAAGCATACCTTTTAATGATCTTATTAAATATGTATTAAGAACAAGTAAGGTAACTGGAGGGTGCAGGATATTTTCAGGATCCAAAATTCTTTCCCTGACATAAATTTTACGTATAAAATTTCCCAAAAAAGTTTTGCACACTAGCACAAAATAAAACATTTTATGAATAAATTAATTTTACTGCATTATTGGCTTTATTTTTATTAAATAACTTATATGTTATGTAATATCAAACATCTGTTACATATATTCTGGTTTCATTTAACAATTCATATAATTAAACAGTTGTGAGATTCATTTCTAAACATGTGAATAAAAATATGTTTTTTCCCCGTTATAAAATATTTGTTGAAAAGAGATATTTTATAATATCTAAATCATAAATGTATTTAATATCATTTATAGCATAAATATTATAAACTTCTTAGAAAATTCTGAAAATATCAAAATAACAATGTAGATATGTTAGTAGAATTTATTTTTATATCATCTTAATTTTATTTATAAAATTAACATGCTATATGTAAAGAAAATTCATATACTTGCTATAACCTTTAAATCACCTATCATAGCACTACAGAAGTAATTGGCACCTACATGAAAGTGATCTTGTGCAGTCCATTCAGCATGACTTTAGGTGACAAAATTCAGAAGTAAAGAAAACTAATTCAGAAAACAACAGAGATATACAACAAACTTTTAATTACAGAATGAAACAGCATTGTTTAATTAGAACAAAACAATACCTGTTCAACATGTTCCAAATCCAGAAGTGCATCATGCATGTTAGTTGCATTTACATTGTATCAACTTTGAATTATGTCTGTGTTGGTGCATAAATGATTATTATTTTCTTAGTCTTTTCTGCTCTTTCCTATAAGTGTTTCTGATGAACCAAGTATTGCTTTTTACTAATTAAACAACTTCCTTTCATTTTGTAATTGGACATTTTTACCTATCTCTGTTGCTTTTCTGCCTATCTTTTCTTTGTTTTGAGTTAGTTTTCTTTAGTTCTGTACTTTGCACTAGGTGTACTAAAATCACATTTAATGGATTGTACATTGTCACTTTCCTGTAGGTGCTAATTACTTCTGTGGTGCTATTATAGGTGGTTTAAAAGTTTATAGGGAGTTATCGACTTTTCTAAGAATTATATATATCTTACTTTAATGTAAGAGAATGAATTTTGTATTAATAGACGACAAAATATTGTGTATTTATATTAATATAAATATAGTTTTTAATAGTAAATGACTATAAAATTTAAATTATTATATTTAAGAATAAAATAATTATACAAAATAAATAACAGTTTTCTTATCATGTACCATTTTTTATTCAGATACCAAAGAGCCAGAAATTCAGAAGATGCCAAAAGAAGTTGTTGTAGAGTTTAGGCCTCACAATAATGCAGCTTGGTTGCATGTTCAAAGTTTGGCTCAAAATCCAAGAGTTCGTGCAAAACTCAGTTTACAGAGACATCTGAAAACTGTTTTCGAATATTTACAAAAGAGATGGAAACCGTATAGATTAAGACAGGTATTAGAATTATTTATTTGAAATTTTTATTCTAATACATAAAATAGACTAATTCAGTTTAATTTCTTATAGAAAGAGCAAATTTTGTCAGGCGTTACAAATTCGTCAGTATTGACAAGTACAGAACAGATGCCGTTATTACATATTAGGCCTAGGCAAAATGCCAACATCTCTTTTGTTAAAATTTCACCATCAGATGTGACTACAAGTGGTGATGTTTGTCTTGAAAATTATAAAAAGAATATTGCAGTTGATAATGTAGGAGAAAAAGAATCATTAAAGAAAAATAAAACACCAGGAAGATTAAAAAATAAGTCAGATTTAAAATTAGCATCTTTGCCTGTAAATAAAGAACACATTAAAACGAACAATTCAGATAAAACTGTAAAATTAGATAAATCAAATGAAGAAGAAAAACCTGGTATTTATAATACAAATAATAATGTTCCAGAGAAAAATGCACAAGAAGAAAATCCTGCATTTGAGGCACAACGGTCATTAAATTTGTTGAAGGGAATGTTAAATTCAATGAATGAGAATTCCTCTGTGAAAAACTGTAATGAACAGGTATCTCATAATGAAGATGGCAATAATATTAAGATAAGTGAAGCAATAGATAAAAACTGTAAAAGTATTGAACAAATTTATCTAAATGCTCAAAAAGATGCCAACAATTTGACTCTTGGTCAATTACTTAGTTTGGCTTCATCCAATAAAACAGAGGAGAGTGTAGAAGAAAAGGAAGACAAAATGGCAGCTACGAGTGAAAGCGACATACCTGTAAATAACATCAATCATGTACCAAAGAATCAAAACCATTGTGATGCAAATAATATATTGACTGAAGAAAAGATTGACATGATTCGCAAAGGTTGGACTGAACAAACAATAGGGATGCTAACTGTAGGAGAATTATATTTAATGGTAAGTTATATTTGAAATAATTCTTATTATTTAATTAAATGTTACTTCACATTTCCTTCAAAAATTAAGTTATATTTTTTACCTAAAACATAAGGCAATATGTTATTGTTTCTTTTTAAATAGGGATGCTTAAATTCCTTATTTTTGGAGTTGACAGTATACATTCAACATTCAACATTTTCTGGATCAAACAGCATTAAACCAAATTTCCATCTAATTCATTGAAATATTTGTATTATTCCATGGATTTTTTCCAGTTACTATTCTGAATGGAAACTAAATCTTATACATAATCTACAGGTTGCATTTGTTCATTAAGTTTAAAAGTTTACTTGATTCTAAACTTTTTAAATAATAATTAATATCCTTGAGGCTTTGTTTAAAACAATTTATTTAAACATTTTTTTTTATTTAAAATGGAATTGACCAGTTTGTCAAATTTATTTTTTTATTGGATATATCTTCAATATTAATAAACACTAAAATGTTAAAATGAACATTATTAGATATTAATATCTTCCTTCCAAACTGTTTTATATGTTTTTATATTATATGAAAATGTGTGGAATGTGACATTATATTGTAACTTTAAAGATAAAACTGCTGAATTCAAGAATCAGGAACTTACTACAGTAAACCTGTCTAAAATAGAACCCGAATAAAACAGGAACTGCCTAAACAGAAAAAAATCTTCAGAAAGGAGTGATTATGTACTTTAAATCCTGCTATAAGCCAGAAACTTTTCTGTCATGGAAACAAGAGGTTTTAGATACAAAGAACACAACATAACAAATGAAATTTTAATTTTTAATTTATAGACAAATAAACAAATCATCTCCAGATATTATCATGCTCTGGCATCATAGACTATTCCAAGAATCATTTTGAACCATGTCTTAGAAACAAGGGTCAAGTGACAAGAGGACATGAGGCCTTTGTTTGAATTAACCAAGGATAGAATTTAATACTATTAGGAATTGAGAACTCTCAAGAATCAAGTTTTCAAGAACAAGCAGTGAATGTAACATGTGAAACAACAAGAATAAGATAACACAGTGCTACCAATTTGCCTTGTATGGAGTAATTAGTAACTAACTAGTACCAAGTATTCAAAAACAAGATGATTAAGAAGTTGATAATTACAGAGATTGTAGTAAATGATTGATTAGATATTAAAATTCCTTGAGAAGCCTGATCACAAAATAGCTTGGTCTCTGTATTGCTGTAATGTGATTATCAGGTTTTAAAGGTAAAATTTAGCCATTTCAGTTTTTCTAGAAACAATTGGAAAAAATTTTTAGAATATTCAACATAGATATATAAGTAGAGTATCAAAAGGTTGTTTCATCATGTATTTCATTGGAAAAGATGCATCAGCAATGTCTGACAATATGAAAGTTTTGAAAGAACACATTTGCGTGCTGTTACTCTCTCACTACAATGCAACAAAGGCTCAAAGGTTCTCATCTGCAAAGTATTTGTTAAAGTGTTTATGGATGAACAAAGATAACAGCTGTTGAAAATATTAAAGAGTTGATATTGCAGAGGGTGGCAATGATCTGCTTTGTTTGTTTGATTGGCATTATTATGATGGAATTGCTTCCAACTGACATCACTGTCATGAAAGAACTGTACTGTGAACAACTAGACTATTTGATTGTCAAGATCAAAGAACTTTGTTTAAAAATTGACAAAGTCTGATACTTCCGTGACAATGCATCATCACATAGAACAAAGATGACCTTACAGAAGCTGGCCAGTTGAGGCAGGGGGTTTATGCCTGGTCCACCTTACAGCCCCGTCTTGGCATGAACTGATTACCATTTATTTTGCACTCTGCAGAACCATATTGCCAATGTATAGTTCAATGAGATTTTCTTCAAAGAAAAATCTCAGTCATTCTTTGCTGACAGAATTGAAAGTTGCAGCAAAGATAGCAAGATGTGATTCATATTGATGCTGATTACCTACAAGACTGAACTGTAATTACTGTTGAGTTGATTGTCAATAAATTTTTTTTCAAAATGTCTAAATTTTACCCTTACAACCTGATATAATTTCTGACTTCAGAGCAAGACACACTAGTTTTGGCACTCAAATTGGCTTGCCCATCATCATGTGAACTCCTATTTGTACAGATCACATCCAAGAAATGTTGCACAAGTTCTTGGAAACAACAACTTTTTGCAATTGTTCTCAATTCTTGCATTTGAATGCTCCAATCTTTAGTAGAAATCACATTGGATTAATTTGGATTAAACCTAGTAATAATTTTTTGTGTGTGCTAAAGTGATTTCACTACAAGAAATGAATATAATTATGTAATATTTCTCTGGTGTAGTGTAAAGATGAAAAAAGAAAACAAGTACTAAAATGTGTTAAAAACTGGAACCTGTCAAAAAAGAAAAAAATAATTTAATACTGTATGATTTTGGTTTACACATATTTTACTGTACTTAATAAAAAACAGATATGTTTTTTTTAAGTAATAACTTTAGGTTCTAATGCTAATGACTTCATTGATAAACAAACAAATCTCTGTACATACTAAAAACAGTTAATCACAAACAAACCTGACTATTTTAACTGTTTTCAGTACGATTATTAAGTAATATTTTCAGCCATCTTCAGTTTGGAAAAAAATTAAAATAAATTATTCAAACATATCTTAAAGTCGATGAGAATTATACTAGTTACAGTAAAACATAAAATTAGAATAAAATTTAAAATTGAATTAGGTGTTAACTTATTTTTATTTCAATGGTTATGCCTTAAAACTCTACAAAGAGTTTTAAGACAGTTACTAAAAAGGTTACTTAAAATATCTTCTGGGTTACTTAAGTTTTGTTTTTTTTTCATAAGAAGTACAGTACAGTGACTTCCTGTATTGATGTATAACACACTCTCTTATAATGCAAATTTGTATAATACAATGAAGAAATTGTGACTAGTATTCATAAAAAATTCTAATTTTGTTGTCCAGAGGTATACTTTTCTTTTTCATCTTTTAAGCCTGGTTTAAACTTGCAAAAATCATCTGATAATGCATGTCTCAATAATGCGATTGCCTATAACACATAACATATCCCCTGCATTATATGGAACGCCACTGTATTCTTATTTAAATTTTAAATATTAAACAATTTTCAAATAATTTTGTTCTAATTTTATGTTCTAGTTTCAAAGTATGTTCTGTATCATTTGTTCATAACATTTTTATAAGCTGAAAGATGGCCAATAATCTTACAGAATAAAAAAAAAGTAAATATTTAGTTTCTGAATTTGGCGGTTTAATCTTCTACATTATTTTGTGTATAAAAATGGTCGTAAAATAGCTGTGTTAAAGCCATAAATTCTTGTTTAAACAGCGTTGATTAATATCAATATATTTATTAAATTTAACAATTATTGAGAATTGATGTTATGTAAATAAGTACTTATATTTTTTAAAAGTTTATACAAAATAAAAATGTTTTTTGCTTTTATTATTAATTACATGAAAATAGGTATTTTTATAATAAAAACAAAAATTAAAATCTGTTTGTTAACTCTTGTTTTTCTAAACATGAAATTAATTTTATTGAAGTATTAAAATGACAATAAAAAAATTAAAATATTTTTTCTTACCTTTGGTTTATATTTCTAATTTCAAAAATAAAATTTTAACTAAACTGTGACGGATATAAATTTTAACTAAACTGTATCAGGCTATATTATGGCTACATTTAATAATTAGAGTTAGAGTAGTTTTGCCCAGAGATAGGCAATTAAGTTGCCATCCTGTAATAAATTTAATGATTATAAATAAATTAATATTTAATTGCCTACCTCTAGGTAAAATTATTCTATATCTAGATATTAAATGTGGTATTATGGTTACAGTATAGTCTGATACAATATGGCAGATCGTTTTGTATTAATTGAGAATTGGGTTATTCAATGTTTATATTTGTTTATAAAATGTATCTTAATGTCTAAAAACACACCACTACACCAAACCAGTTAAACAAACAACAACAATGTACTGTGCTCTGGCCACACACAAGTGATGATGACATTCTGATCACTTATGATGATACCAGATGCTAAACATGCCAGATCTGCACTACACAGCATATTCATCATGTTTAAAATAATTGTTACCTTTAGAAATTTATAAAGCCATGAAAAATTGGACTATTGTCAATCAGACAATCTGTTAATGACATGGAGATCATGGTTCAAACTGTAATAAATTACTTCATAGTACACACCTGAAACTTGACCATTTAAAAATTTATATTCTGTATATATTTGATTTGGTATTCTGCTCTTCAGTAAGCTTAAGTAACCTGAAGATGTCCAATTGATAAGGACAAAAACATTCATTATATTATATATTTATGTTGTTTATCTGGTTTGGTGTACTGGTGTTTTTTTAGATAATATATACCAGTTATTGACGTGCTTAATACATACCTTAATGTTTTGTATCGTTAGATATTTGTTAAAGCTAAAAAATACAAATATGATTATTTTGTATAATTTGTTCTGGTATTAAAAATGTTAAATTGTAGTTCAAATGCATTTTATTTCTTGTGAGCATTATCATAAATAATAATTAATTGAGAATGTTCTGGAAGAGAAGAACTGGCCCAAAGTGAAACTAGTACCCACAACATTCACTTGACATGCATATGTGTAGCCAATCATGGGTTTGGTTCCACTTCAGGACGAATCATGATCATAAGTATTAGTCTGAAATTTTCATATCTGTTCGAAATATAAAAATAAAATGGAGTGCTGCTAATTAAAAACTGAATTATTATTAATTGAATGTGTACTTTCATTCCTCAGTATCTCTGAAGATTGATTTTGGGACTCCCGTGAATTTGCAGATGCTCAGTTTTCTTATTAAGGTGTTGAGTGCTCATTCTAGAGCACTAGTGGACAAACAACATTTATCCACTACAGGCTTTATGCACCATAAATCAGAGAAATGCATAAGGCTTGTAGTGGATAAATGTTACTCAGTTTTCATGTATAAAATGCTTTAGTATTTGTATATAACTTATACACAATTTCTCACATATTTTAAATTGTCTCTAGATTATTTACAATACGTAATACAATGTAAATGCTATCCAAATATTTGTTACTGTGTTGTTTAGGAAATAATGATAAGAAAAACTGTCACTACAGATACAACTATTGAAACATATACAGGTGTCCAAAATTAAAGTACAAACACAAAATCTATGTAAAAGTATTAGTAGTTAATTATGTCCCTGTTTTAAAAATTGTAAGGAAAAATAAATGCCTGTTTAATAATCTGTACAACCTTCAGTTTTTAAGATACTAGTTAAAAGGATG